GGCGGGGGTACTGGTCCTATATTTACGTGTACATTAAACTGTCAGATACTATTTGTGTTTCATGTTATTATTGTTTATAATATCAGAACATGTTAAAGTAAATGGACCAAACTATAGTTTTTTAAACAACGAATCTGTTCTTTGTTCTACAGCTTTTAGCTATGTTTAGTGTTTCAGCCTTTCATAGGTATATATGCATAATGTTATATATGTTTGTTTTCTTCCCACTTTGTTACTTGCTACATTTGTTTGAGGGTAATTTCTTTCTTGGGCTCTAGATCTTATTTTTTAGGTGTTTTTTAGGTCTGTCAAGGACCAAGTCTCCAAAAAGTTAGCTGTTAGGCATAATTTCATGATTGGTATTATTTCTCGAACAACCCTTCTCGCAAGAGCCACTTGGGCTCGAAGTGTGGGCAATACATGGCTCCACTATACTTTATGTGGAAATTCAACTTTTTTATTAAGAAGAATGGGGTGACGATGATTGAATTTCTGACCACTTGGTTATGAAGGCTGTGATACCATGTCAAGGACTGACCATCCCAAAGTTTTAGCTATTAGATGAAAGCTCATGACTGGTTCTATGTATCTACTAGGGTCTTTAACCCGTATTAATGTAATTTTTTTTATAAAAGTAAAACCTCTAAGGACAGGAATCTTGGTATATTGTCCAATCATAGTTTTTCCTGTGTGGAAATATCTTACTAAATATGATGAATGAATTGATTTGATGACATCAATAATTAGGTTCCAAGGCCAAGTACCTTGACCTTGATTACATTATCTCCACTATAGAGGCAATGGTTAACTCTTTCTGGACATTCTGTGTCACATGGATTGATTTGATGGGGCCAATGATTAATGCTTTCTGAACATATGATGATTTAATTATGCTTTTTATTGCCAGCTTGGTTACACCAAAAAACAAGAAGAGAGACATTTCCGTGGAGTCATTACATTAGAGGTATGTACTTGTTGGTTTCTTAAATTTATGGCAGAATGCTTATGAACTTTTTGGGAGAATTGAGATCAAGGGCCAAATAATGTAATCTTTTCAAAAATATTAAATCATTAAAAAAAATTGAAGGGAATAATGTACTGTGTGGTTATATGCTCCTTCTATAGATACTGTCTCACTAGAGAAGAAGTTCATTAATGTCTTGTAAATATTCTTTCACGTGAGGCATAGTTCATTTATGTTTAAAACGTCACATGTATAGTGGCTTATAATCATGGTTCAGATATAATGCCTCATTTTAATATAGTTTGAAGTTGATTGGAATGATGACTGTTAAACCTTCAGCATGGTAATGCCTGTGTTTCTTTTGGATGTACTGATCAGGAATGCAATATTGACGAGATTTCTGATGATGATGAAGCCCCTGCAAAGAGTTCGAAGGATAAAAAGTCCAATGGACCTGATTCTGGAAAACTTATTTTCAAGATAACAAGCAAGGTCCCCTATAAGACTGTTATGAAAGGTAGTCACTCTTGTTCTAATATATGCATACTCCCTCATCCGTCCCAAATCCATCACCTGATCTGAACAATGCCAGGACTGTGTCAATGTTGAAATATGCATTTTGCAGCTCAAAGTACTGTTTTGTTAAAGGCTGAGAGCATGGCAGATAAGGTTGAATGGATCAACAAGTTAAGAAATGTTGCACAGGCTAAAGGAGGTCAAGCCATTGGTGAACCTGGTTTTCCCATGCGACAAAGTCTTTCTGATGGCTCCCTTGTAAGTTTTTATTTTTACATTATTGTTCTCTTTTATTTGATTCATTTAATAGCCCAATTAAACTCGTAAATTTCCTTTCTTTCCCCAATCATTTGAGCTCCCATATTTCCTTTCTTTCCCCAATCATCTAGAATTTGATTTCACATTTTCGTAACATTTTCTTCATGTTGCAAAAACTTTTGTAGGATACTATGGCTAGAAAACCTGCAGATCCAGAAGAGGAGCTCAGGTGGATGTCTCAAGAAGTGCGCGGTTATGTTGAAGCTGTTCTTAACAGCCTTGCTGCTAATGTCCCAAAAGTGAGTTTATTTTATTGGCTACCATAATTCTTCCCTTCAGATTGGGTGCTGTTTGTGAGATCATTTAATTTTGGCTGAGCAGGCAGTTGTTCTTTGCCAAGTAGAGAAAGCCAAAGAAGACATGCTTAATCAGTTATACAGTTCCATCAGGTTAGTGCTTTCTCTTCTTGCCTTACCGTCTGATGACTGGAGGACATTGCTTCTTAATGGATATTTTGTAATGCACTGGCATTCTTCCTATTCCCCCTTTCCACTCATCAAAGCAATAATGTTCATGCAACCTTAGTGTTATATTCTACCATATGTGCATATTCGATCATAGTGTCAATGCTCTTCTTGATTTTCTGTTTTTGTTTTAATGATTTTCTTGGAGATCAACAGAGACACTTTGGGCAGATATAAAGAAGCTAAGTGAGCAGTTTATGCAGTTGCTTAGTATATTTGGTTGGAGCAGAATGCTTGCATCTTTAAGGATGTATCTTAGACCTTAAAGTTGTTCTGGGATAGGGTTATATTTTTGCCAGTTCTATGGCGTTTTGCTCATGGTTATTTCAAGAGAGTTACCATTTTTGACATGTAGACGAACAGGGCTGATTTGCTATATTCTTAAATGTCTTTCTAACGTTCCTTCTTTTACCTTGACTTCTCTGTTTAGTAAGATTTCTTGTTGTCATCTTATCCTTCACTAGTCGTAATTTCCCTCTTTTTTCTCCAATAAATTTTCTTTTTATTTCCAAAAAATAATAATACTTGAATCTTTGCGATATTAATTTCATCTTAAACACTTCACTTATTTACAATTACTCATCAGGAATGAAACATTTGATAATGAAAATTGTGTGTATTTATCATGCTGTGGTTGGCAGCGGTCAAAGCTCAGCAAAAATTGAGGAGCTGCTCCTGGAGGACCACAACGTCAAAAGTAAAAGGGAGCGTGTTCAGAAACAGTCTTCCATTCTTTCAAAACTCACCAGGCAGCTTGGTGTCCATGATAATAGAGCGGCTGCGGCATCCAGTTGGTCTGATAGAGGGAGTGCAGCAGGTAATATTTGTAAATTTGCTTCACGTGCAGTCTTGGAATTTTCTAAATATGCGTGTTATATAATATTTAATTTTCATGAAAGCTTAGTAGGTATGCTATCTGTCTGGGAAGAACTTGAACTTTTGTTTTGTTTTTTTTTTTTTTTTTTTTGGAAGAAAGAATATGATGATGATGGTATATATAATTCATTGTCATGGCTCTAGTAACAAAAAAGTGCTTGACTATATTTAATGCGTTGATTGAAACTTTTTAACTTTCCATTATTGCATAGAATCTGCATATGCATCAGTTAAATCTATGGACTGTATTATTTTATTGTTTTTTCATATAATGTTTGCAAAAAAATTTATGCAGAAAGCAGCCCAAGAAGCTCTGGACCCTCATCCGGTGATGATTGGAGGTCTGCGTTTGATGCTGCTGCCAATGGTCCAAGTGACTTGTCGTCTAGGTATGGTTCTGGGGGTCACAGTAGGCGTTACAGTGACCCATCCCAAAATGGCGATGTGAACTCAGGCTCAAATTCTGCTAGTCGCCGGACACCTAATCGGTTGCCTCCTGCTCCTCCTCAATCTAGCTCAAGATATTAGATAAAGCTACATATTGTTTTAATCAAAATTATGCATCCTTGTCGGATGGACGCTTTCAGTTTTTTGTCTACTTACGTAGAGACTTTCCCACTTCCTTCTTTGAGTAACTCGTTCGGAATATTAGAGGCTTGTAGATAGGTATTGCCGTCGCAGTCATCTTTCTTTCTTAAGGTCATACGCAGTATGTGTCCAATTTTATTCCCTTACTGGGTATGTGAGGGCATTGTTGGGTGAGATGATATTGTGTCTTCCCGACATTCTTTTCCTCTTACAGATGTAATTGTTTTTTTATCCAATGTGATTATCAGCATTTATAATTCACTATTGAATTGATGTCGTTGGTCGACAAGTCTACCTTTTAGTCACTTGCTGATTGTAAAATAATAATAAGTCTCTCCTAATCCTAAAGACGAATTTACATGCATTGGAAGGAGGCTACAAATGCAGGAATATATTGAACAGCATGTACATGCCCCATGAATGTATATTCTTCAGTTGGGAATGGATGGATTTATGAGAGACAATATGAGTTGTTTATAAATAAATAAATCAGTGATCACGAGAGACACGAGAAAAAAGAAAGCATTCTCAAGTGTCATGAAAGATTCATTCCTGTATTACGTATATTATTGAATTGAATCATAATTTTATAGTTGAGCTATGATTTGGAACATTAATGGTAGAAAATAATACAATTATACAAGCAGCTCAAATTTTGCAAAGTTGTTTTCAACATGGGAAGATTATGTGATGATGATTATTATTAACCAAGTTATCTTTCAATCTCAAGATGGTTTATTGTAGAAAAATATAGATATAAAAACCGAACCGTTTTTTATTGTTCAATATTAATTTTAGAGTAAGCACTATTTTTTCTCCCTAACAAAAAATACGGTCCTTACTTTAGTCTCTTACAAAAATAAATTAGTCAGTTAGTCCCTAACAAATTCAAAGTGGACTTATTTTAGTCTTTTTGAGGGACTAATATGGGTCTTTTTTGAATTTGTGAGGAACCACGATTTTAACTAAATGGGTCCACTTGGACTAATTGACTAATTTATTTTTGTAAGAGACTAAAGTGAGGGACCGTGTTTTTTGTTAGAGACCAAAAAAAATATTTACTCTTAATTTTAACTAATCAGCATAAATTTAATATTAATTTTTTTATTGTAAAAAATAAAAATAAATAAAGAGAAATATTTTTCTCATCTTGCATTTTCGTGTGTTACATCGGACCATTTATCTGTGAGAAAAACATATCTCATAAATAAATTATAAAATGTAAGGTGGTAAAAGAGAGTACATATATATATATCTGAAGAAGAAATAGAGAATTGACAATGTTGTTTGAGACGTGGCAAATCAGTGTTCCGGAGAAGTTGGGATGGCAGTAGCAGCAGGAGTGAGGTGGTGGCCATTTGCGGGTCGCAAATTGAAATTGTCGTCATCGGAGAAGCCATCTTCTACGTCTTCGTCTTCGTCTTCATCCATTTCAAGCACGAGAATCAATGCTCTGTTTTGGGGATCTGGGAATGGAAATAGAGATAGCAAGTCCATCTCCTCCTCCTCAATCTCCATCTCCATGCAACAACAATTCACTATCACAGGGGGAGGGGTGTCAGAGTCAGAGTCACCTAATTCTAATTGTAAAGTGATAACAGTTTCAGTTATATCTTCAATCTCAGAGGTTCCATCCATTGAATGGGATGCTTGTGCTCTCGATGCTACAGGCCCTGAAAAGTTCAATCCATTCCTTACCCATGCTTTTTTATCAACCTTGGAGGATTCTGGTTCTGCTGTCAAGGTCTGCCTGCAACAATATTATTATTATTATTATTATTATAATAACATACTTCTTCTTTCACTTTCACTTTCACTTTCAGTTTCAGTTGCACTTTATATAATATGTATTTATTTATTTCAGGAAACAGGATGGATGCCACACCACATCATTGCTAAGGATGAAGAATCCAACAACATTGTAGCTGTTGTCCCACTCTATCTTAAAAGGTTCTCTTCTCCTTCTCCTTCTCCTCCTACTTCCACTCTTATTGTCCTCTCACTTCTCACCTTTTCATTGCAATTGTTGCAGCCATTCATATGGTGAATTTGTTTTTGATCATTCTTGGGCTAATGCATACTATACTTATGGATCGAGATATTACCCAAAGTTACAATCTTGTGTGCCCTTCACACCAGTAACCGGTCCAAGGATCTTGCTTCGTAACACCTCTTTCAAAGATCAAGTTTTTGACATTTTAGTCTCTGCAATGAAGGATCTCACTGTCAAGGTACTCAGATGTACTGCTTTTATCAGCAGCCTCAGCCACACCCAAATCCTTTTTATTCACCATTTTTACTTTTTTATTTATCCTTGTTCAAATATTTACATTTGCTAAGCACCCTAATTCACTTCATGTCTGTTGACAGTACCAGATTTCATCATTACATGTTACTTTTCCCTCTGAAAACGAGTGGCAGAAATTCACTGAAAAAGGTTTCCTGCCGAGGATTGGAATGCAGTACCACTGGAAAAACCGTAACTACAAAAAGTGAGTGATATCATGCTCTATGTCTTTAGCAATGTAAAATATTCCTACCATAGATCTGCTTGTAGGTGAGCTATTGTCATATTCGTTAAATTCAATTGGTTACTCCACTTTAATTTATAGCAACTCTTTTATTACTTTTGAGCTAAGAGGATTTGTTTTGATGGAAATTCAAGTCTTATGTATGGATTTCTTTTTTTTCAAGTTAAATATAGTTCTTTTTTTTTCTAATCGAAAAACAATTCGCACAATAGAAAATAGTTAACACTCTGTGTCACTTTCCTGAAGCCAGTCTTAACAATTGTAAAATAATGCAGATAAGCAATATAAACTATTGGCTTTTTACAAGCATATGTTCTTCTATGCCTGTAGTCATGCGGTTGATAACAATAATCAGTTTCTTTCTTTTGCTATTTGGTAGATTATAATATGAAATGCCTATCGTGGCAGCTCATGTTATTATTACCTATAATTGTTCTTCTGTTTCATTCTTAAGTTTTTTTATTTTCTATTTTGTTTGTAAGGTATGTCTTAATCTTTTTACCTTTCACACAAAAGTATTATCATTACTCTATTGTTGGATCTCTATATTACATCTTCACTAAATTTCTCATTATTTCCCATCATGCTTAGTATCTTTTAGAATTGTTATTCTGTTTGGAAGTTAATTGCTTTTATTGAATTTGTTTAGCATTTTTATCTTGTTCCTTGAACCTGCATCTCTTTTATTAAACTAATAAAATTATTTCTCAGAAAAGTACTGGATGATGGAAAGGATCCAATCATCCATCTTCCTTTTGCTAGGTCATGTGTGATTCATTATAAAGTTCAGTGAAGAGACGTGTCATATTAATCCTTAGCATTAGTCAATACAATTTTTTTTTATATTGGCAGTTTTGATGACTTCTTGATGGACATGAAGCAAAGTAAAAGAAAAAATATACGTCAAGAGCGCAAAAAGGTTGGTATTCATTAAAAAGCATTTATTGATATGAGCAGATTTTTTCAACTGGTCTTAGAATTCTATCCAGTAGCATTCCTTGTGTTAATCTTTCTATTTGTCAATAATGTTATTTCTTTTTCATTCTATCTGTGATAGCATAATCAGAATGAATTGCAAAAATACTTTCTTTTCTATAGGTCATCATATGTCAAATGATCCTGGATTTTAAGTGGCATCAATGCAGTTGACCTGATAGTTTTAGCCACATAAATCATATGATCTCTTTATCTGCAGATCTCAGCCCAGAACTTGATTATGAAACGGCTACGGGGTTATGAGATAAAGGTACTTTGCATGATATAGATATTTAAAGGGCTGCATTTACTCTATATACAATCAAATATTTAAGTGCATAATATATACAGTGGTGAGTGGATGCTTTGTCGCAAATTGATATTGAACTATATAAAATTTTTGTATTTTTCTGTGTCAGATATTAGCGAGCTTTTTCTGAACTGGCCAAAGCCAATTGATGTCTTCTAGCAGTCTTATAATAGGATGGAAAATGTTTTGAAATCATCATAGTTATCTGACCTACCTAAGAGGAGAAGAAAAATTTCCAGTGTAGGATATATCAGAATCACCTTAAACTGTCTGCCATTGCTCCTGAAAATTAGGCTCATAATCAGGAATAGGTTCTGCTACAAAATTAGGAACAGATTCTGCCACTGTTCCTGAAATTCAGGCTCAAAATCAGGAACCTGTCTATTCCTTAAAAAATGCTAGAAATCACGAACTGGTCACCAACACTTTTTTACTCATTGGACAGGAGTTCAGTTTTGGTGTTCATTTTTATTTATCTTTGTGATGATTTGTTCTTTCTATTTGTTATCTCATTACTTATATGCTACGTTTTGGTATTGGAAGGCAAGGCACTGGGATTCCTTCTACACTTTTTACAGGAACACAACTGATAACAAGTATGTTATCCTATAATTGAACCTTCATCTTGTGATTAAAAATTTATTTGATGATGTGGGAATGGTTGAATTGTTAATATTTATATTGTTTGTTGGAAAATATGTAAATAGGTTAACTAAATCTTGTAATTGGGGTAATTATATATTTTATGATCCTTCTAATTATTACGTTAACTCTATACTCTGCCGTTTAATTTAAACACACAGATTTCATCATATATCACTATTTTTCTCTTTCTCTCTAACATGATATTTAGAGCTTAACGAAAGAAAACCTTAATTTGTGCATGCCCGCTGGATGTTCTTACTAAGTTTTTGAGAGGTCCTCATATAAGTTATATATATAACAAACTTGGTGCATATGACCTATATGCTCTAGCTTGAGTATGTAAGTAATGCATATAGGTTAACTAAATTTTGTAATTATGGTAGTTAGGATATTTTGTGGTTTTTGCTATTATTACATCAACTGTATATAATAGAGCCTCTGCTGTGTGATTCACAAATACAGTTTGCATTATATGTCTCCCATTTTCTCTTAACACTGTTGGTTTATTGACAGATGGGGTACTCCTCACCTGACAAGGGATTTTTTTCATGAGATGGGATCAAAAATGGGAGATCAAGTACTACTTGTTGTTGCTGAAGAAGGGGATGAATTAATTGCAGGAGCCCTAAATCTTATTGGAGGAGATACTTTGTTTGGGCGCCTATGGGGGTGTCACCCACGAACTTACTATCCAAGTTTGCATTTTGAAGCATGTTATTACCAGGTTCGTTCTCCTCATTTTCCCCCTTGATTATTATTAGAATTATTTTCATTTTTGATAGGTTTTGGTTTTATGGTTGGAGAATAATGCTATAGTTTTTCATCAGATATTTCTTCCATCACATCTTTTATGGAGACTTTCCCTTTTGACTTCCTAGTGGTAGTGGGTGTCAGCTTATAATATCTATTTTTTGGGGTGCGGGTAAGGGAACGAGCAGAGGGCTTCTCTCGAACCTCTGGTTTGGCCACTCTTCTACCTAGTGTTTGGATAAAAGGAGGGTTTTTTTTTTTCTTTATCTTCTTTCGACTTGCTTATGTGTTCTCTGACTTTTCCACCCTTCCTCTCCTTGTATTTATTATACCCCTCCTCCCATGAGCATCAAAGTGGATGGAATGGCGTAGTGTACTAAGGTTTTGTGTGACTCCAAGATTCCTTTTAGGGTAAAAGAAAAGTTCTATAGCATAGCAGTAAGGCCTTCAATGTTATATGGAGCTGAATGTTGGTCAGCATATAGGCAATATGTGCATAAAATGAGAGTAGCGGAAATGAAAATGTTAAGATAGACATGTGATCATATAAGGACGAATAAAATAAGAAATGAAGATATTCAACAAAATATATGAGTAATACCAGTGGTTAAAAAGATTAGAGAACATAGATTAAGATGGTTTAGGCACAATGCATAAACCCTTAGATTGGAGGAAAGCTATTAGCATTGTGATAGGTTAGACTCGTTTTTATTCCTATGCTCTAGATAGTCTATTTTTATCATTTTACTCTATATCTCCCTTTATTTCTTTCTGTACCACTCCCTTTAATTTTCTTTCTATTTTTCTTCTCTTATTTATTTATTTTTTTCCTCTTATTTCTTTATTCTTTAATTTTTTATTTATTTTTAATTTTACTTTCTTTCTTTATTTTCTTTTTTCGTTTATGTATTTTTTCTCTTATTTATTTCTATTTTCACTTTATTTTACTTTTTTTCGTTTTAATTGTTTATTGCTATTTTTTAATTTGCAATGTTATTGATCTTTTTTAAAAAAAAATTTATCTTTTTTTCTCTCAATCTTTTTGTATTTTTCATTTGGTTGACCACCGTCCCTTTGGGATAAAATTGTTGTTGAGTTTGATCTTCTTATCATGTGTTTCTTGTACCCCTTTTTGTCTCTTTAATACAATTTTTTCCTTTTATCGAAAAAAGAGAAAGGAAGATAATAACTCAATCTCTTTTCTCATTTGCATAATATAAACTCAGATGTCAGGGAAACAAGTAATATTTATGTTTTTTTTTACATCACAGGCAATTGAAGCAGCTATTGAACTCAATCTTGAAACAGTAGAGGCAGGAGCTCAGGGCGAGCATAAGATTCAGCGGGGATATCTTCCTGTGACAACTTATAGTTGCCATTACCTTATTGATGAAGAATTTAGGAAAGCTATAGAAGACTTTTTAATGCGTGAATCTTCTCAGGTATGATACATTGTCAATAAATTCTTTGTAGTTATCCAAACATATGCACCACTTAGAAAGATTTATGTTTTGTTCCTCATCTTTCTCTGTTCACCCTTGTTCTAATATTAATTGTAAATCATTTTATCAAATAGACATATTAACTTGTAAATCATATGAAATGTTATATTGTAAAATACGTTTAGTTGATATTTCATCCTAGTAGGATAACTCCTTAAACATTAAAGCCATGCTTGGATAATGTGGTGAATATTAGGATGTGTCGTCCATGTTTGTGTAAAAGGTGGGGAGTCTTAAAACAATATAGTTGGAGCCCGTTTCCTAGTGCTGATTCTTGCTGACTGTTTTACCTTTACGTAGTTATTACATCTTCTCTGATCGAAAGTTTTTTACTTAATCCAACTCAGCAAAAACAACCTTCCACTTAGAAGTAAAAAGAAGAGAACCATATAAATGCTATTTTTATCTTCACAGAAGATGTGGAGCCAGGAGGATTCTCTTACCAGCCCCCGCTTTTTCTTTCCTGCTTGCTCTTGCTGTTTCTTTTCTAGGATTGTACAGAGTACAGTCAAGGGCATCAGGGAAAGAATTTCTTTAATAATTGTTGAATGGTAAAATTTTGTGAAAAAATTATTATAAATTTAGATCCCAAGGGATGTGACAATTTTTTCTTTCAGAATATAAATACTTTTAATATTTGGGTTGACCACATTCGAGCATTTGTAAGTCAATAAAATAGTTTCCATTCTTTGAAGGATTTTTCACAACTATTTTGAGCATTTTCTTGCCATTGATGTTATTACCATCCATGTTCATGTGTTTGTAAAATAATTTACATACTGTGATTTTTTTGCCTCTACAGGTGAAGCTTGTTATGAAACTCTTGCATGACTCTGGTCCTTTTAAGGAAAAGTAAACACATCGGCATAGTGTTAATTTTAATTTGTAAATATGTATGTGGTTTTATCCTCTAACATTATATTTTGCTAGGAATATGTATATGGTCGAATCAGTGGACATTGATTAATACCTTAGGCATTTGTTGCAAAGGTAACTGGTGCAGCTCAATTCTGAGAGTAGTTTCCTGGTAGGCATGTATGTATATTTAAAATTAAATCAGTGACCATAATTAAAGTCCATTCAAACGAACGCTTACTATCTTGTTTCTTATTTGCATTCTTCTTTTTCTCATTTAAATTTGTAAGTTATCTTATATAACAAATTTAGACAAGAGGTTCAAAACTACGTTTGTTTTCTCAAAAAAGCAATAACAGAGCGAATACTAACCAAATTGGCATCTACGAATATCATGCTACAACCATTTAACCAACCAAAATTTTCCCGCTTGGATATATGCCATCAAGAAAATGGAAAAAAACACAGACAATATAAAAGAATTGGATTTGATGAAGCACTTATCCAAGCCCATGTGAAGTAAATCGTCCATGCTTCGCTTAACTTGGGAGGTTGCTCTCTTCCCCTTTATCTCAGACAGTGAGAGATGCACCATTATCTGCTGCTGTGAGATTGAGTATCATGGTTGCAGCCTTCAAAGCCCTGATAGATGACGAGTGAATGTAAGTTGAAAAAGTATCATTAGATGGGGGAAAATAGCATTTGCGAAATAACTATTAACATGTTACAATGATTAAATGTAAAATACAACCGATTTTAATGGTTCTTTTGATATGTTTATGATTAGACCGGATCTACTTAGTACTTAGTGTGTTTGGTCAGACATTTGCACAACCCAAAACATGGTTTGACCATCAGTCCATCATCACAAACATGATCTCCCTCTCCTCTTGAACTCTGCATGTTTGACTGTCTTCTTGCAAACCTCAGTATTGCCCAAGAACCCGATATAGCGTAAGTGCTGTTTCTCTACTAAAAATTAACCAACCCTTAATTTTCCCTTTTTGTAATACAAACGAAAAATAGACACAAGGTAACATGGTATTTTTGTAAATAGACAATCAAAAATTGACTTTTATCAAGACTATGTAAGCAACATAAATCACTTCAATGTGAACCCACTTGTCAAGTTTGCAAAATCTAATGCAAATACAAACTTACAAACAGTAACAGGTAGAAAATAGTTTGAAAAATCAAAGTAGTGTGAAGCAAATCTGAGTTGAGGTTCAAGTCCATATTTTTGCCCGCCCTCACAAATATCACTCTTTCTAGTAGTTGGGAGTTTTGTTTCTGATTCCTCCTCCAAAGGAAGAAAAGAAGAATGTATTTGGAAAAGAAGTGAAGAGAAGTGATAATATAAAAAATGTTAAAAAGTGGAGTGCATACCATGATTCAGGCGTTTGATATAGAGCAGCAGAATTACCAAAGCATGATGCAAGCATGTCAGTGTTGATTACACCTGGATTAAGAGCCACAACTGCCATTCCTTCAGGCAACTCTTTTGCCACTGACCTTGTCAAACCTTCAACGGCCCATTTTGAAGCACAATAAGGTGCAACCTGTTTTGTTTGCATAATATATATATATATATAATGCTTCCAATCAATGTCAGTTGTGTTATTTATAAATTAAATTAAATTAAATTAATCACAGTGACAACTGACTGACCAGTGCAGCACCAGATCTTCCCCATCCAGAAGACACATTGACAATGATTCCTTGCTTCTTGGTGATCATTAGAGGGATGAAATGCCTCAACACATTCGCAGTCCCTTTTAAGTTCGTATCAATCACTGTATCAAACTCTTCCGCTGGAACTTCCCAAATCTTGTTGTTTTTATTAATGGTTCCTGCATTATTTACTGCATCGCGTCGCATCGCATTGCACAGAACACTTAAGTAACACCAATTCGGAATTGCAACAAATATATAAATATAATAAATCAAAACATATAACCTATACCTATAATATCAGGAACGCCCTTTTTCTCCATAACAATTCGTGCCAATTCTTCGACACTGTTATTCGACTTCTGAAACAAACCCCAAAAAAGAGAGAGAGAGAAAAGAAAATTTAATTAAAAAAAAAAAAAAAAGATAAATAAATCGAATGGAAACAGAGTGAGTGAGTGTGAGAGAGAGAGTGACTGACGACGTCGGCATGAAGGAAGAAATGGTTGTCAGTGTTAGAGAGATGTGGTTGGAGGGAAGTGAGCTTATCGTGAGCACGGGAACAGCCGATTATGATATGACCTCGATTGGCCAATTCTAGGGCTAAGGCTCTGCCAAGGCCTTTGCTCGCACCTGTTATCAGCACCGTTCGCGACACTTCCCTTTTCCCATTCATCTTCTTCCCTTCTCGCACCCTTTCTTTCTTTCCCTGACTTATTTATATATCTGTCTATCTATCTACTATCAAACAAATTCCTACTTTCCTTTTTTGTTTTTTGTTTTCAATAAATATGATTTCAAAATATTAAATTGTGATACATGTAAAGAGATTCTTCAAACGTCAAATTTCTATATTTCATCTCAATACATTGATATCTATCCTATGTTATTCTTGATCCTATTATTTTTTAACATGAATTATTTTTCATTATAAAATTTGTACTTTGAATTATTTTATTTTATTTTCAGTTTAAACCACGCACCTTTTTAAAATTTTAATAGAAAATTTATGTGTTCGATTATTTATCAAATGTCCTCCAAAGGAATCATATATCAATCAAGAAATGTAAAAATACTAACAAAAGTCATAATTTGTTTTGTTTTGTTTTGTTTTGTTTTGCAAAGTGACAAATCTAGTTAATGACAAAACTAAAAACACACAGGACCAAGTCACTACTAGGTAGGGTAAGGGGGGAATATGCCTGATAGATACATACATACATACAATGTATTCGAAGATAATAAAAATCTATATACAAAAATGACATCCATCACGTTACAGAAGAACAAAACAACCAATTCATACCATTGCATTGCAGGCCCACTCAATGGAATGAGCATGGACGGACCACTAAACTGTTGGGGAAAACCGAGCTATAGAAGAAATAGAAAAAAAACGAAGCATTTCTCTATCAAACAGCAGTATTAGTATTAGTATTAGTATTAGTATCTCAAACCAACCATCCGCATTGGTGCTGCTGTCACAAGGTGCAGTGCTTTGGTTCTCGCTTCTCTCCATGTTCTACTTCATACTTCCATACCAATATTTATTGCGTATACAACTCTACTTGGGTATACTGGAATACATGGGAGTTCTAGCAACCAGGTCCCACAATAGATGACTGATCTTCAGGACTGACTGTTGCTTCGGAATCTACCTTGCTTGGTTTAATCCTTTCAACGATTGCAAGTCCTATTTTGGGCGAAAGCTTCTTCACCTCCTCTGCTGTGTAGATGAAAATCTTCCTCACAACAGTACATAACTCACTGCAGTTAAGTACAAATAATTTAATATACACAACAAGCATAAAATTAAGCATGCAGTATTTCCTAATCCAAAATGAAATGCAAGCATCTGATCAAACTATTGAATGTCTTGCAAACAAAGTATAATGCCACATAAACATAACAATGTCCAAGCCAAGAAAATGTAAAAGCATCAAATGAACTTACTTCCATGGATCATCTCCAACCATCATCATCATTATCAGTGTAGACAACCTGCCATTTTTCTGGGGATCCACAGAGCTCCCCATCGATGTCAAACATCTCTTCCAATTTCCCAAGCAGATCCTCAAATTGTGTTAAACCCACAACCCTCCCAACAGCCATTCCTTGCATGTGGTGGACCTAGAAAAATATTAAATTATATCATAAATAACCTCAGTACACTATTACAGCCTAATGATGATTTGTGGATTCCATAGCAAAGGAAAATTTGGAAGACTTTCCAGCCAAAATGTTTCATTGAGATTCTAGTCTGAAGCATGGAAAAATATTTAAAGTTGTATTTTGTATCAGTGTGTGATAAAAGAAATCAGAACTTCCTATAAATTTATTTTAGTTATATTTACTGATTGTGTATGTTAATGAAGGGAAAATCACTAGTCTGGTAGAAATAATTCAGTTGCTGTCAATAATGCCATATATTACCAAGAATCATCATATAGTTCTACAAAATGAAGAGACAACATATACATAATTATCATAAAGTCAACTACATTAATGAATTGGAAAAGCATGCCAAGAATGCTTCAGGTTTGTAAATGAAAATGGGGAAGGATGCAGAAAGATTACACCAAGAAGAGTCATGCTACCTTTGTACAGCTCCTTATTTGCCTGCAGGCATGAGAGGCATGATTTTTCAGCATCGCAACTTACTGAAGGGATATCAGATCGATTAGCATTTGATGGTTCAGAATGCTGATCAGACTCGGCATCCAAAAAGCCAAACAGACCTATCATCCCCCACCCTTCCTGACAAAGTGACTGTTTGTAGACTTCCTTATGGATTAGAATCCTCAAGTAGCTGAATCCCAAAGAGTCTACAGCCATTTCCAGAGCCTTGTCTCTTCTCTCCAGATCCTTTAAGGGCTATAGCTGAAAAAGTTTCCATAGAGTTTTCCATCTTATTACACACCAATATATTGATTTGTTGGAAGGAAGTCCCAGAGAGCTATTATTCCCACCAAAGCCAAGAAAGTAAGTTGCAGTATAATTGAACTTGGGCGATGAATAGAGACCTCGTCCATGTTGGGGGTCACAATAAGGGAAAGGTGTAGATTCAACTGGTGATTTCCATATGCGCGGTGGCGGTGCACAAAGAAAAACAATTATGTAAAAGAACAAAATTGACAGCAGAATTCACATGAAGAAATTGTGTATGACCAACCCACCTTGCATAGAAGAATCAAGCATTGTAAAAGGTAGAACAAGAGGTCGTGCCCTCTTGTTTCTTGGGATTGGCTGCGAGTTTGCAGGAGTGGTAGACACAAGTGGCTCTAATTCCCATGAAGATACTCTATCAGGACGCAAAATTGATGATGGTTCATCCCATTGCACTTGAAATAGAAATATATTATAGGTCATAAAATAACAGAACCAAAAGCTTCTAGCCATCAAGATTATCCGCGTGTCGCCTACCATATTCATCTTTTATACAAAACCTTTAGCCACATTTTGGCAGCTAAATGAATTTTTATGACAATTCTATTCTTTGGCAGATTTAACAAGCTTCATTTCAATCCCATCTATCAGAGTCATATAGTTCAACCATATAAACAATATTGAACATGCATAAGCCAAAGAGTTATGTGATAAAAATGTGGAAACAAAATGCTTAACTTGCTGGCATTCTTTGGATGGTCCATCAAAGTTCAAAATGCTCAACACAGAAAGGGTAGATAATTAGAGGGTACTACACATCTGATATAATAAAGTTCTTATCAATTTCGGTTCCCACTTTCAATAACAATAACCCAGACAATAACGACACATTTCCCTCCCAAACACAAGAAAAAACAAACCAAATCAGGCCTAGCTGCAACTACTTGTTACAGATCAAACTCACTATTTCGGTCGATTTATAATGTACATACTAATATTATGTAGGGAAGAGTGTTTGTCATTTTGAATGACAGAAAGTTATGTCATCTTAAGAGACATATAGACACCGAAAATTTGAATTTTAAATTAAAAAAAATCACTCACTCTCTCTCCCATTATTTCTGTGTCTATCTCTCTCCTAAAATGACATAACTTATGTCATTTAAAATGAGAAACACCAAACCCTATTATGTAACATGATGTAAAGTTTTTTACCCACTCACTCATTGGTTTCCGCACCATCATTTTTTATTTTTTGTTTTTATTATATGTATGGGACTCACATACATTTTTGTTTGAGTAGGAAAATGTTTTAAGATTATGTTACATGATACTAGTTTTATCCTAAGGGGGCGTTTGGTTTCGGAAATTTTTTTGGAATAGTAGAGAAATGTAATAGATAGAGAAATGATTGGAAAGATAGATAAAGTGAGATAGGTAGAAAAATGTAAAAAAAAAAGTAGTTTGGTGGGGAAAAACTTTACTGGGAAAATTAGGTAACTTTATGAAATCAACAGTGCATTAAAAGCCAGATAACCAGTTTTCCGAAAAATCCCACCTTCAAATTGGGTTTCTATACAATGCGGAAATCTATGTTTCTCATAAATCCAGACAAATTGGATAGATGGATTTTTGGTGAAAATACGTTGAAACAAACATGGTGTTTCTAAAAGCCATACTTCAGAAACATAGATATCCGCTGAAAAGCTCCCAACCAAACACCACCTAAGAGTTATGTGGTAGGAAAAGTGATTGTGTTATGTTATAGAGATTTGTTTTGCGTGCCGTACTTTTTTTTTGCTCAAAAAAGACGGGCCCCATAAAATATTATGTGTAGGAAACTTTTTCTTGTCATGTTAAATAATGAATGCAAATCCTTTTTTTTAATATTTGCGTCTCTCTCAATTAGCATAAGAAAGTAAAACAGAAACAACAGTAGAATGCGTGCCCTCAAACCCCTACAGCCTCCCCCCATTGTCCCACCCCTAGGCGTGTAAATGGATTGAGCTAGGCTAGACTTTGGTTTAAATAGACTAAGTCTATGTAAAAAACATTGGGTATGGCCTGGCCTATTAGCCTGTGTAAGCTCCAAATTACAAGTCTGGTCTGACCTATATTCAAAAAAAAGTCTTGGCCTAGGCCTGTTAGCCTGTTTAAGCTTAATAAACATTCAACAATTGAATGAATAACTAAAATAATATTATTTTATTATTCAAAATTATTAAATAATAATTTTATTTATTATATTTTAAATAAATAATATGATATAAGCCGACTTGTAGGTTTATGGGCCCAACATGTACAAAAAAGCCTATGACCTGTTTTCTAAATAGGTTTCTTTAAAAGCCTAGACCTGTTCTATTTTACTACTTATAATAAGCCAAGTCTGACCTAATATAGGCTAAGCAGTAGGTGTTGGGAGGAGGATATTTGAGAAAAGAAAAGGTTTAGAAAGATTTGGAGGAAGAGAACACTTTTATTAGTACACAACTCTTTTTCCTTTTGGCTTGATACAAAATGATAGAGGACACACCTATTTATACTAGTGGCACCTCCTTAATCAATGGCTAGGATTATGCCAACACAATTCTCATCTAATGACTACAAATCATTCTCTAGAATTCTCCACAATTTTCTTAGCCTAGATATTTCCATGGTAGTTTCTAGGTTGAACTATTCTAGATATTTCCATAGAGTAATCTAGAGTAGATTACTCTAGAATTTGGGCTAAACTACTCTTAAAGATTATTCTAGAAGTTGGGCCAAATAATAACTAAGCTCAATGGACTAAATCAAGTTTATTTATACAACAGTAGGCCCCTGTAGGCCGACGTAGCCCATTTACACTCCTACCCCCGCAAATCATTATTTTATTTACTATTATTAAATGTTTATATTAATTAATATTCAAATTCATTCCAGTATCCCCTTTTGTAGAGCTATGGTAGTAAGGAATATGCAAATCACTTGGAAATTTTTTATCGAAGAGATCCACTCGTCCGAGTTTCTTTCCAACCCTTCTTTGTTTTTACAGAAAAAAATACTATCAGGTTCAAATTAACATATTTTAATTTTTTTATAAATTAAATATTTTTAAACCAATACTTATTTACAAAATAATATTTTCCCAAAAATATGTTAAATCTTTTATAAAGAACACGAAATAACATGCTGCAGCCTCGACTAAGGTGTAAGAAATTAACAACAACAAAAAAGAAAAGATACATAATGGCGTCGCCCGGGTTCGAACCGGAGACCTTCAGTGTGTTAGACTGACGTGATAACCAACTACACCACGACACCTCTGTTTATTGATTGCTTCAATTTTAATATTTTAAAGATATTTGTGTCATTTGCGGATTTTGTTCCCTTGAAAAAGTTGCGCCCTGAAGCTTGGCTTTCAAATACGGTGTGGGCAACGCAAGGCAAGGAAGGAAAATGATACTCAGAACCCCTCCGCCACCGAAGAGGCCTCGGGCCGATGCCGATGCCGATGCTGATGCCGACGCCGATCGCCAGCTCGTAATCTACGAGGATCCGCCGGTGCCGGTGCCGGTTCCGGAGTCATATCAGGATCCATCCGTTTCCGAGCACATGCTCTGCACCTATCAGTGTCGCCAAATGGTTTGTCTGTCACCTCTTGCTTTTCAACTTCATTTTCCTTCTGCATTTACACGACCATGACCTCAAAAATCAAAAATCAAAATATTCGGATTTAAGCTTACAATATATCATGGCGCTTGATACTTGATATGCTCCTATACTATGCTGCTGCATTATATTAGTCAATATTCCTCTCTCTCTCTCTCCCTCTCTGTTTAATTTTTTTATTTAGTTTATTCTTCTCTGTGTGGTGTTTGAACTATGTCTTTGCTATTGCTGGGAACGCCGAATTTTCTGCACTCGTTAAATCCTTGTCAAATTATTGCAGGTCAAATCGGATTTTATAGATGCCTTAAGCAGAGCTGAAAATCAAGTTCGTGATTATCAATCTAAATTGGAGACATTGGATGACAAGTTCCACAAAGTTGGTTGGTATATGCTTGTCCGATTGGTTTTTCACTTCAATCTTTACTCATGTTTATGTTAAGTTAGGAAATGAGGAAATAAACCATTTATATGTTTTTGAATTTTGTATCCTTATCATTTTTGCTTTTTCCTGACATCATTGTCAGATTTCTTCTATTTTGTACCTTAGTTTTAACTATTAACTTGTTACAGAGTCCGAGAGGAAGAAATTTCTGGACCAATTCTTATACACAGAACAGGAACTCGGTGCTGCAAAAGGGCGCGAACAGGCACTCCAAGACCAGCTTTTGAAGGAGGTCACTAAATCTCAAGAACGATTAAGAAAACAAATACAATTAAACAGTGAACTTGAGGTGTGTTTTATTTTTCTATTTAGTTCTTTCAGGTGACAAACAAACATTTTATATCAATATGCACACTTAAGCAGAAGACTGAGTTATGCTTAATTTCTTTCATGCCCACTACTCCACCAAATTCTGAACTGATGCATCTTCCTAGAATTTTTGCATTTGATGCTAATATCATTTTTGCATGTCTTCTTTGAATTGTTGGTCTGGTCAGGTGATAATATCTATTATCTAATATTATTTTTTCAAACTTATTGTTGAAGCTTGTTATTCCCCACCTATGCGTGGGCTGCATTTTCACACAGTGGTTTAACCCTCTTCCATATGGAATTTAGGTTAAGCTCCAAAATGAGATGAACCTTCGTATGAAAGCTGAGTCTAATGCCGCCTCAGCAGAAGAGAAAGCAACATCTTTAGAACGTAAGCTAGACCATCTCTCAGAGAGTATAGAGAGGGAAAAAAACCGACTTTCTGATGAGCATTCACAACTGAAAAGGGACTCAAAGTTTTCTGTTTCTCGAATAACTGCAAATGTAAGTGGCTTTATTTGTTGTTCAGACTAATGGCTGTTTACAGCTATCGTAATTAGTTAAGTTGTGTAATTCTTTTGTTGTAGCTTGAACAAATGGAATGCAGAGCTAATAATGCTCAGAGCGAAGCAGAGCTGTTAAAAGAGCAACTGGACCATCTTAAGGACCAACTGAATGAGGTTTGAATTTCTAATTAGTTGCTTGCTGGCTTTCATTGTTCCTTTAAGAATATACCGTGAACAAAGCTATACTCACTCTGTGATGTCAAATTTGACTCGGTGTTAAACCTCTGAAATTCAGCTGGACAGTTTTCTGATTGATTATTGTATTGTACTTGCTTCATTTCATTGTCATGTTCCATTTTCCAATAGGGTTATGAACTTATAGTTGCATTACACCATGATTTCTATTTCCAGTGTTTGCACCAGAAGATTGAAGTTGAAAAAAAATTGTCAAGTTTGACATCTGAAGAAGTTACTTCTACAGGGAGTAATGTTTTAGTTAAACATTTGCAACAGGAGCTTAGGAATTATGTAAGTTTGCTTTCATTTTTATCTCGAATCTTGATGCCTCTTTTTATTGTGATTGTAGTTGTGGGAGGTTGCATACATTGATGACTTGATGTCTGGACCAATTTTAGTAGTAACTCAAGTGGCATGATCGCAAATGGAGAGGGATAATGTCATTATTTTATTGAATGATCTGGATATATAGAGAAAAGGTTTGGGTAGGCTTGGCCCCTGGTTTGAGCCCTTTTTTTAATCTTTTGGGATGTTTATGGGTTGATAGCCAATAAGCCTGTCCAGGTGGGTCATATTGTGTTTGCATTTTTCCTTTACATTTTATTGTCTCTTTTTTATTTAAAATTTTAATAAATATAGTTTAATATGACACCAAATATTTGGAATTACTATGAATATATACAGTTTGTTAGTATATCTTTAATTTTTTAACTTAATTAAAAATGATTTCATTTTCTTTGCTCTCATATGTACCTTCCCTTTGCTAGTGTTTTGATGCGTTTTACAGCGACCATATGTTACCAAAGCATTTTTGTGAGGGAGGCAGGGAGCTTGGTATCAATTGACTGGTGTGTTTGCTTGGTTTCTAAAATTATGAGTTTGGGTTAAATTCATTCATGGACTTAGAAACAAATTTGGCTTGAATGCTGCATCTATTACAAGTCTATAGCTTGAGTTGGTACCAGCTTGATCTGGCTTCTGGTCATGCCTAATGTATGCTTCTGATCATGCCTGATCATGCCTAATTATCTGAACAAAAATACAGAAGCTTTTGCTGAAGTATGATTCTGAATCCATATTGATGTGTGATTTGGATTATTTTTTATGCTTTGGAAGGATGCAATATTTTGATTCATTCTTGTATGATGAGTTCTCAATGAAAATTTGTTTTCTTATAGTAATCTGAATAATTGTATCCTGTTTACTTTGATATTTTAGGAATCTGAAGTAAGGGAAGCAAGAAAGCTAAGATCTAGTCATGAGAACATTGAGCTTTTAAAGGAGAAATTGTTGGAGGAAAAGATCCGCCGGGAAAGGGCAGAATTAGAGCTATCTAAATTACAGGATATGCAGTTAAATATGAAAAAGTTAGAGGATCAAATATCATCTTGGAGGTTGATAATTAAAGACATACCTGGTGTCTCATGTTTTGAGGACATACCTGTTAAGTTTGCTGCTTTACAGAAGTACGTGAGTAGCTACAATTCTGTTTGCTTGGCTATATTAATAGATTTGAGCTGTCAGTGGCATTGTCAAGACTAATAACTCCAGAATATTCTTTATATTTTATTTTGTGCTGGTTTTGATACCTAGTAATCTTTTTGTTTATGAGCACCTTGAGGCCATGGAGATTTTGAGATGATCTCTTACTAGCCTCCTAGTTAAATTTTTTTATCTCCAATATTCGATATCACACTACATTTGTTTTGTGGGTATGCAAAGGGAACTAATTTGCTTAAACATACTGATGGAGAGACTGACTTGTGCTGATGCATGAAGACTTGTATTCATCCATATGCATGATAATATCCATTTATGTTATGGCATATGTCAGTATGAATGACGCACAATGTACTGGATATGTGTAAGACCAAGGATCTCTTCATATTGAGATTGCTTTCTTTTTTAAGTGTAGCAAAAAAAATGTGAGATTGCTATGCTACTTAACATGGTGAGTAAGAACATATTGTCTTTTGATCTTGATATCTTCTATCAATACAGAGAGGTCATTGATAGCATGCGGAAGGAGAGCGAGGGAACTGCCCGCTTGAAACAACTTGAGGTGGCTCTGGATGCTGCTGAGATTGGTAAACAAAATGCTGAGACTGAGGCTGCGTTGGCTAAAGAGAAAGCAGAAGTATTAAAATCAGAGATTAAGCGGATTGAATTAATGGTCAGTGTTTGATTTGGAAGTTGGTATGGTACTTTGATAATTACTTAACACTGGACTTGTTCTTTGCATGCTCTATCATGCATTAGTTCCATTGTCATCTTTGGAATTCTTGGATTTATTATCTGCTATTCTCGATAACCAGGCTGGTGTAGAACATGAATTTAAGACAGATGAAGCAATACTAATAAAGACGGGTTGGTATGAATTAATAGATAAATCTTTGTCTATTAGGTTATGGCTTTCAGAGATTTGGATGCCCCCAATGAAAAGTGGGATTTGGTAGCTATAGTTAGGTTATAGTTGGGAAGGAGTTTCACAATGGGTGAATTTATGGTATATCTAGAAATGATTTAGATGCAAAAAGGCGGAGGAGATAGCTTAAATTTCATACCTAGAATGGACTTGCATCACATAATTCCAAGGATAGACTCCATAGCTAACTTGTTTCTCTGTTGATCTTTCTCAACTCAGAATATAACAAGATGCATATACTTTACTAATTGTAACTCACACCAGCAAATCTATGTATCACTTAAGCAAACATCTTTAGTGATACATTTAAGACATTGATATGAGAAGCTCCTGCAGCCTTGGTCTTTTAGCTTCCTGCTTCAAGTGCAACATATACTGATTGCTTGCAAAGGTATATTCAGTTCTATTTGGGTAATTGATGTAAACACAGCTTTTGGAGATTTGTGAACAACACATGCCAATGAAATGAAGCATTTAGGTATTAGTTTATGATTTGAAAGCTCTTGTTTTGAATGTATAAAGTTGGGATAATAAGTATCAAAATCTCCAATTCTTCAGTTTCCTAATTTTTTATGCTTTCTGGACAGAACAAAAATAATGGTTTAATCTATTTATTATGTAATTGTTAGTATTACACAGTATTAAGATATAGCCCAAAGGATTTTATTTATTGTGTTGCATTTTACGGCTTCTGCTGTATTGAAGAAGCATTGGGTTTAAGTAATCTGTAACTATGCATTATGTGAACCATGCATGATGTTGTTTCCCTGTTGATTATTCTACATGATGACCATGCTTGAGACATACGTGTCAAAATATCACTTCCACTTAATTGAAAGTTTTGATAATTATTTTAATCTTCTTTCTAGTTTCTAAATATCTGAGGTTATTTCCTGCAAATGTTGTTCCTGTCTTGTTATAATTCTGGTATATTTTGAAGTAACTGGTTGTTATTGGGGCACCAACTTCCTTAACTTATGGCAATCTATTTATGATAAGATAATTGCTGCATGACAGAGGTAGTGACTGTGTATAGTTATGTTCTAAAATCTGTAGTCATTGTTTGCCATTAATTTCAGTTATGTGTTTGAAATACATATTTATTGTCTTGCAGCTTGCTGTGGTTACTGAGGAAAGAAATAAATTAAGAAATGTTGCCAATTTGAAGAATGGTGAAGCTGGGGATGGATCAAAAAGTGCTAATCCTGTTCAGGTTGTTTTCCCCCCTGTTTTGTTATCATTAAACTTATGTGATCTAATGTTTTTTGCTTTTCTGGTTGATGCATGCAGGAACTGGAATCATCTCTTGTTAAGAAAGATGATTGTATTAAAGAATTAGAAAGTACCTTACATGAGCAGAGAGTGGTTAATAATCTTCAACATGAGGAAATAAAGTTACTTAATGAAAAGTTGCACAATGAAGCTAGAAGAGTAAAGTCATTGGAGAGGGAGAGTGACCGGCTGCGTTCGGAGATTTCATTACTAGAGGCAAAGGTTGGTGCTGGGAAAATCTTTTTGCTGATTGGACTTCGTATGCATAAAATCATCAATTTGAAGTCCCTTCTATTTCTCCTAATGACCATCTTTAGTATGAGCATTAATTTGGTTTTCCCTGTCATGTATTAATGATGTATGTACTTCTTCTGTGAAGCAACCTAGGGCTTCATTGGAGCTTGCAACTTCTATTGAGCATGAAATTGTCATTGACCAACACTTCTGCACTATTTTACACTAATAAATAGTAGAATACAATTTTTTTTAAATATTAAATACTCTTAATTTCTTATGTCTGTATTACTGTTAAACTGTTCATTTTCCCAAGCTGTCCTGTTTTTGGTTTTCATTTTACAGTTTTTGACAGTCTACACATTATTGTTCCTTCTATAGTTGGGTCATGGTGATTTTTCTGCTGCTAATACGAAAGTTCTGCGGATGGTGAATACACTTACTGTTGATAATGAGGCCAAACAAACCATAGAAGCACTGCAAACTGAGTTGCAAAAAACAAAAGAGAAATTAAAAGCTGTAGAGGAATTGAAGTTTCAATCAGGTATGAAACCTTGTAAAGTGGTCTAAATGTTATATTTCAAAAAGAGTTGGTGGTACAGGCAAGGAGTTGACAAAGGAGATTAGTTTGAAGCTTTTGAAAGTGGTTTTGCAATTTGTAGTATGAAGATAAGTGGTGAATGGGAGAGACTGATGCTCTATAATGTCTAGTGTTTTTTATTTTGTTATCCTCATTTCCTTTTGCTGAACTTCTTTTGGTATAGACTAGAATTCCGGGGGTGCTGGTATATATGATAATTATAGATGAAACTACAAAAAAACATGATGCGTTATTTTGTTGTTGCTCCTCCAGTGAACATATTTACCAATTCACATTTTGCTTCTTTGAGAAGCCAGCTATCAAATTTCTGGCTTCCTGCTGAAAAAGTTTATCCACATTTATTAGACTGGTTAGCATGTTTTTCTTAATCAGTGTACATTATATGATATTGAGGATTGAGTGCTCAGCTTGAACTACCAACTAGTTAACTTAAATCTGCAACTGACTAAGTTAAGCTTAGCACACAGTGAATTGACTGGTCGTGATCTGTAAGTTAAGTGTTCTCCCTGGGCTTGGTTGGGGAAGATGAACAAATTCCTCGTAAAAAGGATTGAGCTTAAAACTATGACACTATGAGTGAATTTTTTGTTTAGTATCTGCAGAACAAGTTCGGATTGCTTGGTTGCAATCAAAGCTTTAAAAAACCTTTCAAGAAAACTGATCAAGTATACAGGAGGTATGCCAAGAGGGCCCCTCTGAAAATTGCTTAAGTAAAAACAAAAAATAAAATAGAGAGAAAAATAAACCTAAGTATATGAATGAAATGAAATTTCTTGTTTGTTATATTACTCTGACCTCTGCCCTTTAAAGACAGACATCAATGGTAATGAGATTTTATGTGTTAAGGCCTTAAAGGGGGGGGGGGGGGGGGGTCCAAGGCTTCTAGTATCGTCTTATTAATCATTGAATAATATTGTTATCAAATGTACGGGTTTTCCTGATCACTGCTAACGGTTTAGGAGAAGCTGGAAAGCTAGTAGATAGCTACATATCAGATAAGATACTGCAATTAAAAGAGCAAATTGCAACTCTTGAGAAGCGAGAAGAAAGGTGAGAGTATAACTTGCTAGCTTTGGCACATTATGTGTTTGTTTCTATCAAGATGATTGTGGAATAACAGAAATACTGAAACGTCAACAGATACAAGACAGTATTTGCAGACAGAATTTCAGTCTTCCGGAGGGCATGCTGCGAGCTTTTTGGTTACAAGGTTGGTATATGCTGATCTAGTTTTACTGCAATCTATTATCACTATTAAATTGGAAGTGTTTTGAACCAAATTGTGTTGCTTTAATTTATTTTTTCGAGGACCACACACCTTTGCTTTGAAAACAGTGTAGCATCCTGTTAGGGATGTGATCTGGTACGGGGAAACCTCAATGCATATTTGAATTTTAGTCACTATAATTTCAACTACTATTGTAGCAAGCTTCTGTTGTAAGGTGATTTGTATAACGCTGCTAATAGTTGAGTTGGGTAATTTTAGACATTCCAAGGTTAGGGAACTAGAAACTCACGTAAACTCCTTCCTGTGCAATTCGACATGTTATCCAATGCTTCTGCATATAGGGTTTGTTTTTTCTCTCTCCAAGAAATTGCCTGTCGAGCATTTTCTAATTATGTTCTTTCCAAACTGGAGGAGGTTAACAATTGATTCTGTGATAAATATATTTATCTTTCTGCTGACACCTAGAATGCTTCTGTGCTTGATGATAACTATATTGGCAGATTGTGATGGATGAACACCAGCGGTCAAATGGAATCCCAGTGACACGATTTACCTTGCAATCAATTTATGCACAAAGTGATGATGAGAAACTTGAATTTGAATATGAATCAGGGAACACTAACATTTTGGTAAGATGTTGAATTTTGTATTGGATTTAATATTGAGAGAGGAATGGGGATTTTACTTTTTTCAATTGTACACCACTAAAATTCAGTTTGGGTTGAACTTCAAGATTAAATGGTGATTTTCTTTCAACAGATAAATTTGGGCCTTCTAATAATAAAATAAATAAATATATCTAAGGAAATATGTTTTGAGGTTGTTTTTGGCTTTTTGCAAATGATGAAATGAAAGATGCTGAATTTTTTTTATTTTTTTTCCCGTAACAACAGGTAAATCATTACACATCTCAGCCGGAGGTATCTCGTCAGGTAGGGAAGTTATAATATTAATATTTTTCAACAAACACATACAATAAATATTTAGGATCTTGAACTTCTGTTTCTTTGATCTCGAGCATAAATATGATCGTGAGGTGATCTATAACTTGCACAGTGTGTATGTGTGTAAGGGTTTTTGGTTTGAGCCTTAGGTGTGGCTTCTTCTTACTTCTATGTTTTATGTTACAACCCATACTAATGCTAGGCCCACAAGAGTTACCAAGCGGCCCAGTTACTTGGATCAGTACCAATGTTAGAGTCCATTTAATTGTATTTGGTGATGATAGTCTATGAAGTGTAATACATAGGCTCCACAGGGAATAGCCACCTGGAGTCAGTTAGAAAATTGTTAGAAAGTATTAAAAAGAGGAATGAATGAGAAGAAAAGCATGAAAAGTTTGACAATTTCCCTCTCTTCTGATTTCATCTCTACCTTCTTCTCTCTTCTCTCTAATTTTCAAGAAAACTCTTAACATTTTAGCTGCAAAACCTTCGATTATAGAGGAAGATATTTTGTTTTTAGCAGCAAATAGTTTCAGCTGAAAATATTTTTCCATAAAATAGCACATTTTCTGTTGCATATTGTAGAAAAGAAAAATACATCTTGAATAATTTAGTTATTAGTTATTTATCGCATTAATACTGATATTAAATAAATAGTTTTTAGAAGATATCTATACAAAAAAGAATATATATGTTTTGAAGAAAATTATTAATTTAAATTTTTTGATTTAATAATGGAAAATTATTTTTCATATTTAACATTTAAAAAAATATGAAATATATATATATTTCAATGGGTTTGCCAAGTCAGAATAAAAGAGGAAGGTTGGCGTCAGGTGTAGCGAGTCGGCCGTAAAAAAAACAGCTTATGATATGTTGTTGAACCCTTATGATATGTCGTTGAGGTGTACCCTTCATAGCAGCTATATTTATGAGATGAACCCTTATGATATGTCGTTGAGGTGTATCCTTCATAGCGACACGTTGCATCAGGTCCCGGGCATAGCGAAAAATGAGCTAGGGTCCTTGCCACAAGGCTAAGCGCTGCATTGGTCCCGGGGTGTAATGATAAATGAGTTAGGGTCATTGCCTCAAGGCAAGGCGCTAGGTCTTCACCCGGATTTGGTGACAAGTAGGTCAGGTCCCAACACGCAAATGGGCAAGTGTGGTGGGCAAGCACCGCCCAGAGGTTAAGGATGCGATTGGAAGCTGGAACATAGGAACCTTAACGGGTTAAACTTATGGAGTTAGTAGATGTTTTTGCTAAGGAAAGTGAATATTGTTTGCTTGCAAGAAACTAAGTGGGTTGGAGAAAAGGCCAAGGAAGATGGTACCAGTTTCAAGTTGTGGTATACAGGTATAAACAAGAGTCACAATGGTGTTGGAATTATGATCGATAGAAGTTTCAGAGATAAAGTTGTAGATGTCAAAGGGAAAGGCGACAGGATTATCTGGTTAAGCTTTTAGCGGGTGATTTAATCTTGAATATCCTCAGTGTGTATGCACCCCAAGATTGCTGACGCGAGCTGTTGAACTCGCAAATTAATTAAATCAGGTTTATTAAAATTTGTAGTAAAGCGTCAACCTGAGTCGTCTCTCAAGGAGTTTGCAAGGAACTTAATCGCTAAGTTATAAAACTAAAACTAAAACTAAAACTAAAACCAAAACCAAAACCAAAACCAAATAAAACGGGAATAAAATAGGGGGTTTTAATATGATTGTCAACTTAAACGGAAATGACAAATAAAATAAAAAAAACGAGAATAATCAAATTAAAAGAAACCAACCCAAGAATTAAGATTCCAAGGATATCCATCATTAGACAAATAATTACCAAATCATGGTTGACCCTAATCGAATTGGAATTCCTGCATTCGCTTAGAAACCCCTCTCTAGACGATCGCCTAGCGTTTGGTCGAATACGGCGCGTCTACTCACGCAATCGCGGAGTATCAACCCGTTCGACTTGAGTTCATTGGGTTAATCAACCTAACCATTAAATCTAATGGTTAATCTCTTTCCTAAGAACGCAATCCCGTATCTCAGATTGAACACCCACAATTACGCAATGCCAAACTGAGTTGGAAAGAGAAACATATTTAGTTCAAAATGAGGCGCAGATCCTCAAGATTCAACCATGAAACCTCAACCTTTGGGTTGATTAAAGAAAAGAGGAGAGAGAAAAGACGAAAATTATATTAATTTCAAAACTGTAAAATTCAAATTCAAACGGAAAGATTATCCACAAGGTCCCTAGTCTCACCCTTTTAGCCCCTAATCAAGCTGGGCTTCGGGCTCTACAAATCCAATCCAAAATAAAAGGAAAGAAAACAGAAATACTGACTCTGGGTCTCATGTACATTGGGTTCAAAATTACAACTTAAGTTCACTTTTAAATAAATTTTCAGCAAAACACGTCTATCTTGGGCTCAGGTTTCGACCATCTTCCCGTCCGAATTGGGCTTCAGTGGCTGAAATAGCGATTGTAGCCTTTTTTGTTAGCTGCAAAACGCAACAAGAACGGAGTCAATCGGACATCTGTAGAGTGAGATATTGCCAAAATACGAAAGTAGTGTAAATCTGGAAAATTCTGACAAAAATCAATTAAACCCAATTAAAATCTAGAATTCTAATTTGACCCAAAAGACCTTTATTTAACTCAAATAAATCCTAAAAATACTAACTAAGAGTAATAAATAAGTGTAACAAAATATGTATTATCAATTGCCACCCAATGATAAGAGCCAATTTTGGGAAGACTTTTAGGAGGTTTTGATGGGAACACCACGAGAGGAGAATATTTTCTTTGGAGGAGATCTAAATGTTCATGTTGGTAAAAGTAATGGAGGTTTTGGTAGAATTCATGGAGGTTTTGGCTATGGAATGAGAAATGAGACTGGAGAAGATATCTTGAACGTTGCACTAGCCTACTATTTGATGGTAGCGACCTCCTTTTTTCGAAAAAGGGAGTCACATCAAATCACATATCATAGTGGTCAAAATCGTAGTCAGATTGATTTCTTTATGGCTAGAAGAGAAGATAGAACTTTTTGTGTAGACTGTAAGGTCTACCCTGGAGAGTGTGTCGCTATGCAACATAAGTTGATAATATTAGAAGTTCGGTTCAACAAAGTACTTAAAATGAGGAAGAGGGCTCAGAACCCAAGGATAAGATGGTGGAAGCTAAAGGAGGAAAAACATAGAGTTCAAGGAAAAAATGTTGCATGAAGGACCATGGGAGTTTGATGGAAGAGCAAATAAAATATGGAATGAGATGGTTATGTGTATTCAAAATATGGGAATGAGGGTGTTGGGAGAAAGCGAAGGAAATGGATTTCATACAAAGGAAACATGGTGGTGGAATGAAGAAGAGAAGGAAACAATTAAACAGAAGAAGGAATGCTTTGGATCTTTGCATAAAAGTCCCAATGATGAGAACTTGCAAAAGTTTAGATTGGCGAGAGAAATGCAAAGAAAGCAGTGCAGGAAACTAGAGGCAAGGTTTTTTGCCAATTTTTATAAAAATCTTGGGAGCAAGAATGGTGAAAAAAGTATATATAAACTTGCAAAAATGAGGGATAAGAAAGGTAAAACCTCGTCCAAGTTAGATGCATCAAGGATGAAAATCAAAAACTTTTGGTGAAAGATGAAGATGTAAATGAAAGATAGATAAACTACTTTAACAAGCTGTTTAATGGGGATGGCGATAAAAGCAAGGTGGTCTTGGAGGACGCTTATGATGATTTGAATAGAAGATTTGTGCGCAGAATCAATACACATGAAGTTAAGGAGGCTTTAAAGAGGATGAAAACTAATAAAGCTCTGGGACTTGATGGTGTCCCTATTGAAGTGTGGAAAGGCCTGGGGGATGTGGCAATAAAATGGTTGACCAATCTTTTCAATAAGATTCTTCAGACAAAAAAGGCGGAGACATTGATGAGTATGTAAATCATAGAATTAGAGCAGGGGGGATGAAATGACGTAGTGCTTTTGAGTTTTTGTGTGACCGCAAAATTTCGCTAAAGCTAAAAGGAAAATTCTATAGAACAGCAGTAAGGCCTGCAATGTTATATGGAGCTGAATGTTGGCCAGCACATAGGCAACATGAACATAAAATGGGAGTAGCAGAGATGAGAATATTAAGGTGGATGTGTGGTTATATGATGATGGATAAGATAAGAAATGAAGATATTCAACGTAAGGTAGGAGTACTACCGGTTGGTGATAAGATGAGAGAACATAGATTGAGGTGGTTTGGGCACGTAATGAGAAGGCCCCTGGATGCTCCCGTAAGAACAAAAGTTTGTTATCAAGAGCTCGACAAAACGAAAGGTAGAGGTAGACCGAAACTTACTTGGGGGAAGATAGTAAAGCAAGACTTAATGGAGTGGGATATAGATTGGCGGACGATATGCCTTAGGACGGAATGGAGAAAAGCTATTAGCATGGTAAAGGATTAGACTTGTCGTTATTCCTTATATTCCAGATGGTCTTTTTTTAGTCTTTTTCCTCTTTATCTCCCCCACTTTTTTTTCCCCTCCTTTTCCTTTATCTCCTTTCCTCCTTCCTCGTATTTTTTTTTATTTTTATTTTTATTTTTTCTCTTCGTATCTTTCATTTGGGTTTATCTACCATCGACCTCAATTAGTTTGGGATAAAGGTGTTGTTGATGTTGAACACTTAAAAAATATAATTATAGAAATATTTTTGAGAATTAGATTTTCTGTAAAAACAGTAAGATTCTTTAGTTTTACATTTTGTAAAGAAAATTAATATCTTCTTCCTGTATGCATAATTTATAGTTCTTCTGAATTTTGATATTTCTGCTATTGTTAAAAATATTTGATTAGTTCCGTTCAGTCAATTAAGTACGAGACTTTTGAGTCATAACAACTGAAGATGGATAAAAAAACGAGACTTCTGTGGAATGAGAATTACCATCATGCATGTAATTTCTATATATATATATATATATTACTGAGTCATGCTTAAGAGACTTGTACATTCCCAGGTTGAGATATTCATTCGGAAGATGAGTTCAATTCCTGCTTTCACTGCCAACATAACGGTGGAGTCTTTCAATAGAAGAACCTTGTCTTAAATTCTACGAACTTGTGTAGGCTATACAATCTAAGCACTGAGATTTCTTGTGGTAACTATCAGTTATGCTGTATGTATATTGCATCTACAACTTCCGGATGTTGGTCAACGAGTAAGGCAGCTAGGACCGGAAACATTTTGCATTCTGTCATTGATGCCTGATGGATGGCTTGGATTTGAAAAAATATGTCACTTTTTATTTATTTATTCTCTCAACCATCCGCCTAACTAATTTGAGATAAATATGTTGATATTGGGGTGAGATTATGAGCATCCAGACTGATATTGGGGCGTATATCGTTGTCAAAACTCCATTTTTCGTATTGTTTCGTCCTTTGGCTACCGTTAATATTTCGTTTGGTTTTTCAATTTGGATGCTTGTTATGTTTTATACCATGATAATTTCCGTAGTTGTCATGATGCAGGGAATAGGAGCTTGTGCTCTGTTCTAATTATCCTATTATCCTATAGGGAAAATCCCTATTCTATTATTAATTTTTTCAATTTAGTTCCTCGGAAATAAATATTTGTAATCAAGATTTGCACAGATGACAATTTGCATCAATTTAGTCTCAATTTTGAAAAGTGCGGGATTAGATTGTAAAATTTGATATAAGGAACTAAATTGAAATCGAAAATTTAATGAGATTTAAATAGGATGTTTTTCCATAATTTCTTTGTTGAATTTTGTGGAGAATTGTTTTGGGTATGATGGGCTTAAAGCTGTTGACTATCGTCTGTTCCTCGTTTTCTTTGAAGCTCTATTCACTTAATAGTGGGTTTAGGGTACCAGCAGCCTATGGTGGCTAGCGCTTGCATGGCAGCCATCATTTATGGTATGTCTTATTCAGCAATCACTTAAGTTGTTTAGTATAAACCAATTGAGAATGCTAAGTGGCCTACGACTCAGTGTGCTGAAAGTTTTTATTTATTTATTTATTTTTGAAAAAAAAAATAACTTGGCTGAAGTTCTTAATATAATTCAGAGAGTTTTCACTTTTTTTTTAATAATTTTGCGGACTATGGTAGTTCACCATTAAATCTGCAATTTTTCCATTATCTTCATGGGTTATGTTCATTGCTTCCACTGATGTAAAAATGTACCGTTGCGAGGGGCCTGTAGTCTGAACATGATAGGTGAGACAACTAGGGATCTAAGATACTGTTTTTGGTATTGGAAAGCGAAATTAAAAGGGCGTGATTGAGGAGGGTTTGAAGTTGCGCTTCAGTGCTGTCTTGGCCGGGTTTCTGTCAGTGGTAGGATAACGCTGCTCACTTGCGTTTTGTCAACCAATTGGAGTGGGAATGTTCATTCGTGGTGCTTACTGCTCACTCTAAACCAGATATGGGTGGGATCTTGAGTAAAAAAGATTTGGTTGCAGGGACAAATGTTAAAACCTTAGCCTCTTTTCTTTGTGATACATGGCCAGGGTAGTTCATGGCAGAAAAATCATCATTATTAAGTAACAATTTAACACAATAAGCAAACACAATTCAAAATCTAAATGGTTTAATTTTAGGGAAAAATGTTTTCCTTATCACGGGAGATAAAATCATCTGTGGCTATCCCAAAACAACTGTCTAAGGGGAAAATACAGAGTATTTTAGTAATTTTAATTTTATTTTATATTATGTATTTTATTAAAATACCCTACATTATTTTTTCCTAAATCTTAAAATGTCGTTATTTTGGAATTTCAAATTATCTCCTGGACAAATGTTAATCTCTTAATTTTATGGGTCTTTTCATTTACATGATTCTTATTTAGTTCATTTATAATATATGTGGGACTTCATTATTTACATTTACAATTTCTAACATTGTCATCTAATTTGTATTTGATGGCTATTTTGATGAAGTTATGCTTATGTTGTATCAAACACCATTTTTAAGTATTTATGTTTTCTAAATTAAAAAAGAAAAAAAATTATTTTTAGAAATTTTATCATGTACGCCTTTTATGTATAAGATTAACTTTTCTGCACAATATTAAGGGCAAAAAAATTAAATTAATGTAATTAATTTAAATAATTACGCATTTAATGATGTTTTGTTAAAAATTACACATCCGTTGCACAATGAGACGCCCTCTTTGGGCGTCACATGAGACGTCCATACCCCACTTTCCTTTTTTCACTCCTTACTCATTTACCTCTCTAACCTCTCTCCAACCTCTCTCTAACCGCGGTTCGTAGCGAAGCTCTGCCAACGTAGGTAAGGTCATAATACCTCATATGTATACATTTAAATTACAGTGCTAGTTAGTAATACATGTTAGGATTGATTGTATATTAGAGACTTGGAACATTAGGATAGTCACTTAGAAATTTTATGTCATTCTATGAATGTTGTAATGATATAATAATATTATTATTACGTAGTTATTATTATTACCGATTTTTAATTATGTATTAGGGTTTAGCATATTAATTAGTGATTTATTGTAATACCCCATATTTTTATTAACTTTAACCTTATGCCTTTTAGTTAATTTGAGGAGCCCAAACTTCTAAGTTTCGAGGACGAAACTTCTTTTAAGGAGGGTAGAATGTAATACCCCATATTTTCTTTTAATAAAATAATAATAATATAATAATAAATATTTTTGGATAATAATGATATTTAGTATTTTTGTAATTAATAATATTGGTATTTAATATTTTTAATTAATGAGTTAATAATAGTTAAAATAATAAGAGGTAAGATAATAATAGTAATATTATTTGATTTATGTGATAATATATAATTATATATATATATTAGATGATAAATTATGATTAATTGATTTATTAATTGATTGATGATTTATGTATTTATGTTTGATTAGTAATGATTGATTAGTAAATTGTTTAGATATGATGAGTCAACAAACATATATTGTTTAGATATGATGAGTCAGCATTGAGTCAATAATGTATAAGCCCTAAACTTCAACTATAAATAGAGACCTAGCCTAACCAAACCAATTCACTCTCCTCTACTACTCTCTCTCTCTTCTCACTCCAAAAAGTTTATTTTAATTATTTTCAATCTTTATATTTTTTTTTATCAACCGGTTCTCTGCCCTAAATTACTCTTTTCTTCTAGAAGTTAGCGCGGAGACCAGGTAATCCTAATCTCTAGGTGGTTGTAGATTTGTTGTGTATGAAATTTTATTGGGTGTATCTTAATCTTTAGGTAGTTATATGTTTGATATATGGAATCCTAATCCCCCTATGTTCTATTTGAATAATATGGAAGTTATGATGACCCTGAATAATGGATTTGGAAGTTTTGATATTCTTGGATAAATGATTTGGAAATTATAATGGATTTGGAAATTATGATATTATTGAAAGATTGAATTTTGAAATTATACTCTTGATTAAATTGATATGGAAATCATGAAAACTATTTGACAATTATGAGAATCGTGACAAGATTGAATTGATTGTATGTGATTGAATAAATTAATAGTGGGAGGATAGCTTTGGGATGGTACCTCCCAAGGTGATGAACACAACTTTTGGGCTTTACGCCTCCGATGTGAAACTGATGTGAAAAAGATTATATCCGTTCTTTCCAAAGTGGTGTCTGGCAGGGTTTCCCAGGATACTAGTAGCAACTTTGGGAAGAGGTGTGCACACTAGGAAGATGTGAATTGATTATGGCCAATGTGATTTGTTTGTGACTGGCAGGGTTTCCCGGGTCATAGGGTAGACCGGCAGGGTTTCCCGGGTCTACCATGGTTCTCTTCCCACTAAATATAATGAACTTAAACATTATCAATAATGAAATTTGTTATTTGATTTGATTATGAAGAATGTCATTGAGTTGTGAATATTATCATATTATGATTAATGTTGTGCTAAATATATTAGTTGATAATTACCAAATACATTAAATGAACTTAATAAAGATAAATTTTATATAATGGAATTTTGATTATTATCTTGATATTTGATTTGATTAATGTGGAATTGATTTGAACACTATTTGATATTTGATTTAATTTGTTATTAATTACATTAATTGTATTTTGATTGGGATTACCAGCTTTGCTGACTTTTGTGTTTGTTTAACTGCAATGATCCTTCACGGGGGAGCAGATTTTCAGTAAATCAGGTTGCAAGGATGGGGCTAGCAGTGGGCAGTGAGGATACGACTCAGGATTTCTAGCTGTAATAAATATTATGTATATAAAAAAAAAACTGTAGTCTTAGATTTTTATTTGAATGTAATAGAGTTAGCCTTGCATTTGTCCCTGTACAGGTGCGGCGGTAACACTTCCCAAATTCGATTATTTTGAACTTCCGCTGTTATTTATAAAATTATTGAATTGATTTATGCTATTATAAATTGTTAGAATTTGGGGTGTTACATTTATAAATAGTGTTAAAGACTTTGTAAAATTCGTATGTATGATGTTATTAATGCGGGAGTGCATAACTTTGTAGTTAGTTGAGGATAATGGTTGAGTCATCATCTTCTTCAGGATCTGATTCGGATGTAGAGCCCACCGATCCCAGCATGTGGATCATACCTGGGCCGTACAGGTGGGAGGTCCTTTGTAAGAGGACGCAGAAAGGTCATATTTCACAGCGAGTGTGGAATACAGAGCATGTAAGAAAGATTAAGACTAGGCGTGGGAAGCCACAAGGGGGCCCACCTACCGGTGCTATTCCACAGGTTGTGGAAGAGTACCTCAGACAGGCGAGTTTCATACATGTTGCCAAGATGCAACATATCCAGGTATGTTATTTATGTCGTTTTGTATCTATGTAATTATTTAATAAAATTCGTTAACATGTGATAATTGCGTAATTTATCACAGATAGATACATTTTTAATTAGTGCTCTGGTCGAGAGGTGGAGACCAGAGACACATACCTTTCACATGACCCAAGGTGAGATGATGATCACCTTACAAGATGTGGCAGGCATATTGGGCTTGCCGACCGACGGTACTGTCGTCATCGGATCGACCTCTGAGGATTGACATGCTGCTTGTGATTCTGTTTTTGGACATGTTCCAGAGGCCGGTGAGTTCCATCATTCCGGCGACCTCCGCATCTCATTCTTGGATCGGCATTATACCCGGTGGACTGATCATGAGGGGAATCATGCTGCCGACGGTGGCGGACCCAGAAAATTATATGAAGGGGGCAAAAATTTAACAAATCCGACTTATAGAATTTTAAATAAAATATAATTTAACAAGTATACTAAATTGATAAATTTAACATAAATTACTTCATTGCCATGTGCCATGTCAACAATGAAAAGTAAGAGAATCACAATCTTAAACCAAAAAACATGTACAGCGGTCTCAAGAGATGCAATCATTAAATAATT